AAAAAGAGCAGAAATTTTAAAAAGGCAGATTTTAAGGCATCCACACCCACCCAGCTCACTACAGTGGGGAGGCAAGGAATGTTGTGGGTCCCGTCCCCTAAGGAGGTACATCTGGCGGGACCCAGGAGAAGGGCCTTCTTATCAGAAGCCAGATGGTAAGGTTGAAAATGGCTACTCTTGGACCCTGGGATGCTGCAACCATTATAAAGACATGCCGTTTGCCAAGTGCCCAAATGCTGATCAGGAGACAATGGGGACACTGCGACAGTTAGAGGTGTGAGGCTTTGATCCTACAGCGCTTTTTTCAGTGCTAACATACGCTCAAACGGTCGCTGAACAAATTCAGGTAGTCCCCAACTTAGAACAGTTCATTTAGTGATAGTTCAAAGTTACAGTGGAACTGAAAAAAGGGACTGATGGTCATTATTCACACTGACGGCCGTTGCAGCAACCTCGCGATTGTGTGGCAAAAATTCACAACACTTGGCAACTTACTCATACTTATGACGGCTGCAGTGTCCTGAGGGGTCAAGAGGCCTTCTGACATTTAACCACCATGTTACTAACTGAACTGCAGTGATTCATTTAACAACGGTGGCAAGAAAAGTTGTAAAATGGGGTAAAACTCACTTAACGAATATCTCCATTAACAAAAGAAATTATGGGCTCAATTGTGGTCATAAGTCGAGGACTACCTGTAGTTGTAAGTTGAGGGCTACCTGTACCATCTGCAGAGGAAACTACACACCTTTTCAGGTCCCAACCAACACTTCTCTGCAAACACATGTGTGTTCCTCAGACATTTTTGGCATGACAACCATGGGGACATCACACATCCTTGACTTGCTGGCTTGCTCCATGTTGAACCATACACTAACCATTCCTTCCTATAGCTTATTTCCCTCGCAATCAAATGTCAACTCCCTATTCACACAAAATATTCCATAATTCAGGCCAGCTGACTTTGTGATATACTTTCTCCAAATCATCAAATCTGCAATAAGCTTGTTTCTCACCAACTTGCTAAAAGATAAAAATCTGATCGTCCTGTTGTTCTCTGCCAACGTAAAGGTGCACTGCAAATGTTTTTTACTTCTCACGCCCTTCCAGTTCCAAATTTGGCTAAATAGTTTTCTTAATACATTTGACAAATGTATTCCCTTGACTTCAGTTTTGTTATTTCTTTTGTACGACAAGAACAATGGCATTCAGGTACAGCTTCACATACATAAAATGTGGCACAGTTTACTTACGAAGTGGTTCTGCAACTTGCATTATGTACTTTGTAAGTAAACCATACCTCTATTTTAACTTTCTTCGGTTTTCATTCTCTATACCTGCATCTGACAACTTTTAACATTCTCACTGCATACTTTCTCTTGAACACTAATATTAATCGCATTTGTTTCAACTCCACTATTCAATATTCCCACATTTTTCTAAAATCTTTTAGCGTTCTTACTTCTGTATTACTTCAAATCATTTAATCAATTTCATTTATTCTCCAGTACTTTTATTTAGCACTCCTCAGCTATTGCCCACATTTTTATTTCCATCAAAATCACCTTGCATTTTCCCTCCCTCTTTTAATCTTACCTGCTTCTTCGATCTGACTACAGTCTTAGCAACTATCTTTTTCTCTTTGTACACATCATGTTTCACTTCTGCTGCAATCATCTCACTTCAACTTTGCACCAAGCACTTTTCTTTTGCATATTTGCATTAGCATAACTCCACACACAACTCTGCAGTATAATTCTTTCCACTCCTCCTAGTAGCTTCCTTTAAAAACATGCCTCATTCGTTCTTTTTGGCATAGTATCTATCTCCTGAGTTTTTTTCAGATAGGTCTTGTGTTTTAAAACCTATCCTAATTAATTTACCAAAATCAAGCAATACATGAATAAACAACAAAAATTCTCATTACATTTCAAATCATAGAAACCAACCAAACTTCATTCAAAATAAAGCAACAGCACACAGGATTGCAATTAAAAATCTAAAAAGTTAATACATATTACAGAAAGTATGGTATCAACAAAACAGTTTTTTTTAAAAAAAATGTACCTGCAGCAGCTTGCTTACTAACAGTGTGCTGTGTAAACCAAGCTCTTGTAGTTTATAAATTATAATGGCCATCTCTTAGCATGTCGTTATGGAAACACCCATTGTTTTAACTACACTGTCAGAATCACAATCAGATTTAATAAAGTGCAACAAGAGCATTTTTCTTCACCCTTGAAGGTTTTCTTCTTGTTTTCACATTATAGTCAGAAGAAAATTTGTTAGTATCATAAAGAACATGAAACAACTCTGTGTGTGTGTGTGTGTGTGTGTGTGTATGGGGGGATGGGGAGAGAGAGGAGGAGGATCTTGAGAAGGATGCACGCGTGCCGTGCATCTTTGTGCATGCATGCGTGATTCCCCTCGTCGTAAAGTGGGGCAAAGCTTCACTTAACAACGGTGTCGCTTAGCAGCAGTAACGTTGGGCTCCGCCGTGGTCATAAGTCGAGGACTGCCTCCTATTCCCCATCCCGACCTTTCCCGGCCTCCTTCCCAGCTCCTGACCGGTTGGCCGTGCAGCCTTCGACCGAGCCTTCCTTCCCTGGGAGCCGAACCGGGCCGCGAAGCCCAACCGGGGCCTAGAAAAGGGCCGCGGCGTCCTCCCAGCCCGCTCCCTTTCCACTGGCCCGCTCCGGCTTACCCGCTGCCTCAACGCCCCGGGGCCCTCGGCTTGGCGCCACGAGCTCCCCTTCCTCCTCTTCCCCTCAGCCGGACCCTCCGCTCGGTCCAAGCAGCGTCCCAGAAGCTCCTTCCATGGGGAGTGGGGGCGGGGGGAACGGAGGACGGCGAAGCGCGGTGCCTGCCGGGATGGGTAGTCCCGGCGCCTTTCCCCCATGAAGAACTAGACGGCCGAAAGAACTACATTTCCCAGGGCACAGGCGGAGTTGCTTTTAGAGCTAACGGTGGCCGGCGTGAGCCTTTTTCACAGATCTCGCGCGCGCCCTCGGGCGGCCGGGGGGCCGACGCCGCTATGCCTTATGGAACGTGTAGTCTGCAAAGGCAAAATGAAGGGCTCGCCGTCAGCTTTCCCCTAACAGGGAAACTCTTCGTTGTGGACTACAACTCCCAGCACCTTTGAACGGCATGGCTGTGAATAATAGGAATGGCAAATTGAAAGCCCCTAAAAGTATAGAATCCAACTTGGTAAAAAGCTAAATGAGTTATAGAAGAATTTCTTCGCAGCAACTGCGAATATTGGACTTTAGATGCCTCCATGTGACCTGTTATTCTACATGATTGTACAGAATAAACATTTATACAAGCAAGATGCTTATTACTGCACTGGAGATTTTAAAGAAGAGACAGCTATTTACCTTGAAATGGTTATAGGGTCTTCTGCTTGAGCAGTGGGTTGGACTAGACAACCTCCAAAGTCCCTTTCAGTCCTATGATTCTGCTCTTTTCTGTTCTACTGGCATTTATTCTGTCCAGAATAAGGATGCTCATAAATATTAAAAAATATCCTAGATTTTCCCGTTCTGTCCAAAATGCAGAAAATATCTTTATTCATACATCTTTGGGCCATGTAAATTCACATATTGTATACATTCTCTTTTGTATTCTTAATTATTCTATTGTTATGTTTTAAAGTCCATTTAAAATAGAGTTTTAAATAGCTTGTTTTATTTCTATTAACTGTTGTGATTGCTAGTCCTAATGGAAACAAAGGATACGGTGTAAAAAAATATAAACAAGAACCACAAATATTTTCCATAGGAGTAAGACTTTACTAGAGCAAACACACATCAGTTCAAACTACCTGACATTATGGTTAAGACTCTAAAAGAAAAAAAGATGATCCAGTTCAGTCTGATATGACTATGGCTCCAGGTATAATATATGTAGAATGTACTGCTCACTACAAAACAGAAGGTTCCCTCTCTATTTGTTTTGAGGACTAAGTTACTTCTGACTTATCTTTTTAAATGTATCTTTTCTTTTATGTATACTGAGAGTATTTGCACCAAGACAAATTCCTTGTGTGTCCAATCACACTTGACCAATAAAGAATTCTGTTCTAAATAGTTTTGCACAGCCAGCAAATCTGCTAGTTGAAGAAGAAAACAAGTATGAATTTATTCATGGGACTAGATCACTCAAAATCTTGGCAGCTAATTGTTACATCTAATAAATAACCAATCCATGCTGTGGCATCTTTGCCTTTGTTTTAGATTTAGAATATTAAGAGTTTATCCACCATGGTTTATGGCAAAGGTCTTCAAACTTGGCAAGTTTAAGACTTGTGGACTTCAAGTCCCTGAATTCCTGAGCTAACATGGCTGAAGGAGGAATTCTGGGAGTTGAAGTCCACAAGTTTTAAAGCCATCAAATTTGAAGATCCCCAGTTTATGCCTTTCAATGCTTTGTGATCCCAAGCAAGTGGGTTTATTCACCAAACCATAGTTCACAAATCAGGGCCAAACTAGGTATACAATCCGGGTCTACAACTGCAAGCACTGTTTATAATCCTTATTAGCTAATTTTCTTTTACATCACTGTACAGTTTTCATTCCTATACATCCTGTCTCCAAAATGTTGGGAAACAGAGCTGTTTGTTTTTACCAAACCTGGTTTGATGGTCTCTAAGGCTACAAAAAAAGGAGTGGGGCACTCTCAAATTTGATTATTTGATTACTCAGGATCTGGAAATAACTGCCCTGATTATAGAGAGCACATCGAACTCAAAAGAGACCACCAGCAAACAGTTCATCAGTCACATTATGTCTGGGGAGAAGGCCCATATTTTCGTGACAGCTTTCACAGAAATTAAGCCCAATTGATGCTTAAGTCAAATTGTTCAGGGGCCTCTTACAACCGATCAATCGACCCAATTTAGATACACCATAGATCACTCTCTTCCCTCCCAGCCAGCAGGATTACTAGACTGGGAGGGAACAAGAAAATATTTTTTTTTCCATACAGAAGAATTCATTAAAAAAAACTTCATCTGCAACTACAATGTAAACAATAATCCTGTTTACCACAATAAAATTAAAATCCAGAACAACTCAGAATTTGTCTCCTTTCCAGAGATTAGCACCTCTGGAGCAGGACAGTTTGGGAACTTGCCAAAAAATCTGTATGGCAACCCTTAGCCTTTTTGTGAGGCTGAAAAGACAAGGATTCTGGGCCACCAATACCCCCTAGAGACAGCCATGTCAGTCGAGATCCTAACGTCCCCCACAGCACTGGCCACTCCAAAGTAGACACCATACATACAACAATTTCCTGATAAAGCACAAGATGGCCCTGATTTGAAGAAGGACATCTCCATTGAACAGTTGTATCCTGGGGTAGCCTTGAGGGTAATGTTGCAACAAACTCCCATCAGAGATAATTCAGTTGGCGTTGTAGCCCAGTGCACAAGGTTGGAGAAAGTTGATCTACAAGCCCTATCGGCAGATCTTTCTTTCATTTTTGCTCTTCTGGAACCCAAGTTCTTCAACAACTCCATTCCTCCGTCATCCACAGGTTTCTTCTGTCTTTCACTGAGGAGCCACAAAGAACTCTACATAATGATGCCCAGGATAGAGGATACTATGCCAGTTCTCTAAAAAATTTGTTTCAAGTGTTTTTTTTTTCAGCTACGTCCAAGCTAAACTTCCTTCAAGTCTCAAGTACATGATTTCAAACAAATAACGCAAGCAAGAAAGGGACCTGTGTGAAGAAGTCAGGATTTTGTAGCTATGGTCCATCTAAACTTCCAGATGTTATCGGTACTCAAGGCGAGATCTTCATAGACATTTTTTTTTTCAAAGTGACTTCTGGCAATATTTTATTCTGGGTATCATCCAAGCCCAGAACCATTCAGGGACAAATCTTGCTAAAATCATCTGTAAGGGTAAAAAAAGGGTGTTGTTGTTTTTTTCACACAGAAGAATTCATAAGACAACTTCATCTACAACTAAAAGTGTTAATGATAATCCTGTTTACCATAGCTCAAAAAGTGGCTCAGAATACAGAGAAGCTACGAAAAAGTCATCTCACCAAGAGGGTATGTGGCCAATATCCTGTCGTCCTTCGGGAGACTCCGAGGGTGGTGATTGCGTGACAAGCATACTCATCCGGAGAAGGCACGAAAAAGCTCATTTTGGAGAGGTTGCTACTCAGCTTTGTCACGTTGGGGCAAACGAAGAACGGAATTAAGCTCTGAATGAAAATGCCCTGAGAGGCATATTCATAGTGAAGGGATCTGCTGAAGTGATCCAGGTAAGTCTGTGGAGAATAAACAATGAGGAAGGGATACCCATTAAAAGAAATTAAATTGTGGATTTAGACTGTGTAAAGAAGGGACCAAGGGTGAGGATGGAATATAGCTTGATTCCCTAGGTCAGGGGTCTCCAAACTTGGCAACTTTAAGACTTGTGGATTCAATTCCCAGAATTCTCCAGCCGGTCCACAAGTCTTAAAATTGCCAAGTTTGGAGACCACTGTCTTAGGTAATACATTTAATTGATTAACTTAATTAATTCCTTTTCTTGATGATCGTATAATCCTGAACCCGGGAAGCAATTAAACAAATTGAGTCAAATATGTTGCCATAAAATATGCAACCAAGGTTAACACTAAGCAAGATTACCTTCTTATTTGTTTGTAGCTGCTTATTTTTGACTTGATTAAGTCTGCTGTGTGAATCAACCAATAAATAACCGAACTCCAATTCTAACATCAAGCTAACCAAGTGATAGCTCAGGGGGGACAATTCAAACCCAGTTTTTGAAGATGTAAAGCTTCAAAGAATCAGGATACCAAATCTGGCAAAATGATTAATATTTTGATACTGTAGTCTTCCTTCCTTCCTTCCTTCCTTCCTTCCTTCCTCCCCCAGCCCTTCCTTTCTTCAAACTTCAAACATATGTCCATTATGGGTAGACTCCATTACAGTCATATTTTGAAACTACCTGGTAGATAAAATGTTGATTCCTTGGCTATCCCTAGCTGAAGTCCATACTCTACCTGAGAGTTCACATTATTACTCTGGGTAAATTATCATTAGAAGTATTTATTAAATTTATATGCCACCCAACTCACTATCCAGCAACTCTGGGTGGGTTACATCATAGTAATATAACAATATAAAACAATGTAAAAATCAAAAACACCTTAAAACATTGAGCACTACAAATTAAAACATTAAACTTAACGAACTGGATACAAAAACGCCAATATGTAAATGGGGTAGAGAAGGGATCTTCTCCTAATCTACTACTGAAATGGGGAACTGCTATCAGGCACAAAAGGATCTGGACCAGTGGTGGGATTCCAAAATTATTTTACTACTGGTTCTGTGGGCGTGGCTTGGTGGGTGTGGCAGGGGAAGGATACTGCAAAATCCCCCTTCCCTCCCCACCCCACTAACCTGCTTTCCAGCTCCATTCTCCTAAGCAGGGCAACCAAAGGAGACCCAGCCGATCGCTGGGACTAAATGGGAGGCAGAAAAGAAGAGATGGGGTTGGCGGGGCCAGTCAGAGGTGGGATTGGCCGGTTCTCCAAACTACTAAAAATTTCCACTACTGGTTCTCCAGAACTGGTCAGAACCTGCTGAATACCACCTCTGATCTGGACCCTATGGTAAGTTGCAGTTCAAAGCTTTAATGCTCAATTCTATGCACAAGAATCTAGACCAGTGGTGGCTAACCTTTTTCGGCTCCCGTGCTGATAATTGCTCCTGCGCTCGCTTGCGGGCACTTACATACCAGCACCCAGAAGACAATGCATGCTGCCCCCCCATGCCCGTGCATGTGCGCATGACTCCCCCTTGCGTGCCATGCATCTTTGTGCATGCATGCGTGATCCCCTCGTCCCTGCGCATGTGCGTCTCCCACATACCTCCCTTGCACCCCCTGCGCATGCGCAGCAGAAACCTGACAATCAGCTGTCAGGTGGTGCAGGCGCACTGGGGCTCTTCCAGGAGACCTCTCGTGTGCCAGATGAAATGGGTCTGCGTGTCACTTCTGGCATGCATGGCATAGGTTTGCCAACACGGATCTGGACAGTTTAATATTAAATTAAATATTAATATTAAATTGGGGTTAGAAAAGGGCCGATGGAATTCAGGAGTGGTTGGACTTAGATCTTGGTGTTCTGACTTGGTTGTTTTTCTGAAGACATTTTGCTACCCAAATTAGGCAGCATGCATCATCAGTGAAATTGGATTTGGATGGGCCACTGGGACTCAGAGTTTTATTCTTCCAAGCTTTTGGATTCATGCTAAAGTCCATCTTCAGAGAATTTCTCTACTGGAATATGTGCTTTGGGCTGTTCTGGGAGTTGTGTTTTTATGGGGCCTTCCTATTGGCTAATTGGTGTGTTGATGGTTGACGATTGGCTGTCATTTCCTTGTGCTGCCCAGCCCTTGGCTCCTACGTATTTGATAAGCTGATGGTAATTCATCAGTATTTCAACATCATCCGTGCTTATTGTGTCACCTGATTGTTTTCTTGGAGATGTTTCATTAGTTTGGGCAATGACACACCTCCAATAAAACAATCAAGCTCAGAGAGTACCAAGGACCTCTCCTGTCAACTGAGCTACAAATATTCTCCTTTAGTGCACTTACGTTTGTAGCAACGTAACGATTCTAGGCTGATGACACCCTTAACTCCACCCTCACCAGCTCTGCCTTCTCTTGTCCTAGACTCACTCTTGTCTTAGTACCTACTTGATAGGGAAATTGTACTCTAAGGATAAGATGAGGGAGCAACCACCTCCTCAGGTGTCAACCAGACACCTCTTCAATAAAGGACCCGTTAGAAAATTAAGAGACATCCTTTTTCCCTGTTGACATATACCTTGGAGGCCGAATATGCTGTGTACCGGGGGCAGGGATAGCAGCAGCTGATAGAAGAAATGTTGACAATGGCCCCCTTCTTCCTATGCACCATGCCCGGCAACACCAGGTGCGCCATCATGTTGGCGGCTCCAATGTTTACATTGATGAACTCCCAAATCTGAGCCTCCGTCAAATTGGTGAAGGAATCGGGCAGAGGGTTAAGCAGCCCGACATTGTTGACCAAGACGCCGATCTCTTTGCCTTCCAGAACCTTCTTAATGACCGGATAGGCCTCGCGGCCCCTGCTAAAATCCGTCACGACAGTCATGGTGCTGATGTTGTAAGTCTCCATGATCTCTTTAGCAGAAGCTTCTAATTCATCCCGGTTCCGGCTAATCAAGATGAGATCAACTCCACAACTGGCCAGCTCCTTAGCGTAGGAAAGACCGATGCCCGAGGCTGCTCCTGCAAGGAAGCAGAGACCCATGGGTTTTCTGACCCAGTTTCCCAACACATCAAACCCCCTGTCTTTAAATCAATGATTCCTTTATTAGGAGTGCTGGCAGCCCTGGCAAACAGTTTTTGGCTAACAAGTCTGTCCAGCGGGGAGCTGAATAGTTGCCTGCCACATCTATTCATCTCTGCCCCTGCCTTTTATACTCAGAGCTAGGGTGGGGCTTTGCTAGCAGGAGTGGCTCTTCCGTCCCAAGAACCGGCCCATAGATTTCCACTGTTCTCCTCTCCTCTGGCTGGGGAATGCTGGGAATTGAAATCCACAGGTGTTAAAGTTACCGAGGTTGTACCTACGTAGAACAAAAAAATCTGAAAGCAGATGCCTAGTTTTAGGTTATCAGAAGGACATCCAAAATATTATAATTCTTGTTATTTTGTGGGAGAAATTATACATGAAGCCGTGGAGGGGGAAGGGCGAATTTCTTACCTGTGACCACAGCCCATTTTCCATACCGCTTGCTTAAGTCAGGCCGGCCAAAGATCCGGGGAACAAAATGCACCCTAATCAGCACATAGGTGTCACTCAAAATGGTGATGCACACTTTGCTTGTGTAGAAGGCTCCTACAACCGCTAGCATCTCCATGCAGTAGTGGTAGGACCGTCCAATCTCCCGCATCAACAGGGAGAAACTGTCCACCGCGGCCATCGCAAGCAGATTATCTGGGAAGGGAAACATATGAGAGATATCCTTTAAGATGAATTTATGTGAGATACAGGATTACCTGCAACTACTCGTTTAGCAACCATTTAAAGTTACGATGACACTGGAAAATAGTTAAGGGTGCACTCCTCACACTTAACAATTGTCACAGTATTCCCATGGTCACGTGATCAAAATTTGGGCCCTCGGCAACTGGCATGTATTTAGGGTAGTTGCAATGTCCCAGGGTCATGGAGTCACTATTTGAAAACTTCCCAGCCAGCTGGCTTTGTAGAATAGAACAGTGGTTGCCAACCAGTGGGCCAGGGACCACTGGTGGTCCGTGAGAAAATTTGGTGGTCCACAATGTCACCCCCACAAACAATTAATCCAGGCTGCGCTGCCCACATGTCCCGTGGGAACACAAGGCTTGCGTCGCTTGCATTGGGAACAGCACGAGGTAGTGAGGGGAGGGGGAGAAGGGCGGGCAGGGGGAACTTGCCCCAAACGCCTGGCCTGGTCACCAGGCTTCTTCTTTCTGCTTCTTTCTTCTTCTGCTTTTGGCTGCACGCAAGGAAAGCAGCAAAAGTTTCAGTTTCTCTCTCTCTCTCTTTCTCAGCTGGTTATTTGCATCCTTTTAGAGGGTTCTTGAGGCCACTTGGAGGTTTGTCTGTGTCCTCAGGGTTACCTGAGTCAGAGGTGAAGAAGCTTCTTAGATGAGAAGCAAAACATCTCCAAAAGAAAAAAATAAGAAGTCCAGTTGCCTCCTGAAAAAGCACCTTTAGGACAACCACACTTGTGACTGAGAATCTCCACAGATGAGATCATAGTTGATTTTAAAATGTGTGTGTCCAACAGAGAACCAAAAAGGACAGTCTCCTTTGACTGGACATCTGGTAATCCAAAAGTCGGTAGCATAGATGTCTCCATCTTTGGAACATTTAGCACAGTTAGCCAGCATGTGGCTGGCGTGTTAGCAAACTCATACATTACATCGTTTTCAAAGGCGCACTATTATTGCAAAGCAGGACACAAGCATCATCTTGAGAGCAGCAAGAATAAATTCCTAAGCTGATTAAAACAAGCCAATTAAAATAGAATCTCTTTGAAAGGGTTTTTTTCCCCCCTCCCCTCCTATAAACCTCAACTGAACTCTCCAACCTGTCTCTCCCCATTTTCCCCACTGCTGAATCAAGCTAAACGTGGCTGATTTATGTCTATTTACTCAGAAATCAAAGAGTCCCTTAATCCAATGGCAATTGGGTTTATGGGCAAAAACACTACCCAATAATCATTTTTTAAACTATGCATTTTTGCTTTTGATCTTTGGGGTTGCTTTGCTAGCTCAAGGAATGACCCGGAAATTTACATTTTCTAATTACAGGAGGTATCGCTATTCAACTCCCACCTGGCAAAAATCAATTTATTATATTTGTGTAGCCGCCCATCTCAGCTAGGCAGCTGAACAGGATGCAAAAATAACCGGACTCATCCGTCATTGCTTTTAAAAATGCAAAGAGGCAACGATCAAACCCCCAATTTTGTTTTGCTTTTATTTATCTTACCAGGTGTTCTCGGATGCAGGTGGGCTTTGCATCACAATATAACATCTGCAGGGTTGCGACTTCCCTCTTAATCCAATCTCGTCATTGGTTAAAAAAAAAACACCTTTCTTTAAACCCTAGCTTTGTTATTCTTAGCTAGCAGAAAAACTCGGAACATGGAGTTTCGGAAGGGGCCAGCTAATGTAATGGTCCCTGAATCCAATTCCGTAGGTTTTCCAAGCCAGTTTTTCCACGTAACCTTAGAACGCTTTTTTTTTCCCCCCTCCTCCTTCAAAATGCCGAGTTCCCAGGTCCTGAATGCGGTGTAACGAAAAGCAATACAGACTTTAAAGGCACCGTGTTTCTACTTTACGTATGGCGACTCTTTTCTAAACAAAAGTATTAAAAACAATCGAATATTGTCATGAATTAATTTGGAGGAGAGACTTTTAACCATTTATAGCGACGCTGCTCTACGTACCTTCCAGAAGATTTATATCTGGTTCAATGGAAGAGTTAACACTGTACTTTGCTAGATTTATAACCTCCTACCTCCAATCAGGAAAGTTTTGCCTTTTACAGTTTAATTAGGGAGGCCTGAGAAGAAAGCTTGACCCCCCTGACGATGACCAAATGTTGTTTTTTTCCAGTGAAGTTTGCTGACTGGGTTTCCGACATCTGAACCCGCAACGCGGTTTGAAGCGCAGGACGCGAGTCTACCCTTTTCATATCTCCACGCCCCTTGTTTTGCAGAGCTCTGGACTGGAAGCAAGAGACGCCTCCGGCGCCGCCAAACGGGGGGAAGAAGGCGGGGCTTAGCGAGAGACTAGCCGGCTCGGGATGCGCGTGCGCGAACCCGTGCGCGGTGCGTCGTCGCCATGGAAATGGAGAAGCCGTTGGCCGGGAGCCGTTTGAAGCCGGGAAAGGAGAGGCGGCGGCGGCGGCGAAGGGCTGATTCTCTGCTTAACTCCGCTGCGGGAGGAAGGATGGCCCGCTGAGGAGAGAGTGAGGCGGCAGGGACGCATAACGCTCATTCGTATTCACACACTGTAAAAAAAAAGAAAAACCATTGAATATTGGAAGTTCTCGGTTTACAACGGCTCGTTTAGTGACCGCTCAAAGTGACACTGGGGGAAAAAAAGGGACCGATGATGACTGTTTTTCACACTTAACGACCTCTGTAGCGACTCACGGTCATGTGGGGCTCTTCCTTATGACGTGATCCCCTTTTACGTCCTTCTGACCAGAAAAGTACCCGGGGGGGGGCAGATTCACTTAACAACCGGGTCCCTAATTTATCAACTGCGGTGGTTTACTTTAACCCCTGCGGCAAGGAAGGCTGTGAAACGAGGCAAAGGCCCATGGAACAAATGCCTCACTTAACGATAGACATTTTGGGCTTTGGTTGTAAGTCAAGGACATCTCACAGATTTGCTGCGGGGGGAAATAGTGAGATGTTATGACCTTTCTTGCCATTGTTGGTAAGTGAATCATGGCAGTCAATAAGTGAGGAACACAGTTGTTAAGTGAATCAGGCTTCCCCATGGACCTTGCTGGTGAGAAGGTTGCAAAAATCACATGACCCCAGGACACAGCAAGCGTCATAAATGTGAGTTGTTGAGCTTCCAAATGTTGATCACCTGACCATGGGGATGCTGCAATGGTTGTAAGTATGAAAAACGGTTGTAAGTCACTTTTTTCGCTACTGTGTCAAACGGTCACTAAACGAACTCCTTGTAAGTCAAGGACCACCTATAAAACTATTAAGTAAGGATGCATTCCTATTATCCTTCTCTTTCCTCTTTCCTATCTCCTTTTCTACTTATGACTATAACTTTGTTGCTTGTACCTTTACGATTTATATTGTTTTATTTAGTTTCCTAGTACAATTTATTTTGATTGCTTATTTAGTATCCTATGACTATCACTAAGTGTTGTATCTTATGGTTTATGATTAATGTATTTTTATGATGATTACGATCATGATTTATCCCTTATAGCTTTTGTGTACACTCAGTTTATGCACTGAAGACGAATTCCTTGTATGTCCAATCACACTTGGCCAATAAAGAATTCTAATGCCTATTATAAATGTCTGGCCTTCTGTTCTAGGTGACAGGACTGAAAATGTACCCACCCAGTGAAAAATCTGAATTAGGAGAGGCTGTTGCAACAGAGAGCAACGACCAAGAAATAAAAAACTGCGAGCAGGAAGGCAGCACTTCCAGCAACGGGGACAGCTCAGTTAAAGCAGGTAGCAGATCCAAGAAAAGAATGGTTATAAGTGCCATTTGACCATGGAATATTATTATTAATTGAATTTATATTGCCACCTATTAGCCCATGCCGACTCCTTGGTAAAGTATAATGGCTCAATTGCAAACATTGTCATCTGAAATGTTGCTCTATATTTTTTTTTCCTATTTCATTACAATTGGTACATAAAGGTTCAAGTTTGACTCGGCCTTCCATCCTTCCGAGGTCAGTAAAATGAGAAGCCAGATTGTTGGGGGCAATAGGCTGACTCTATAAGGAGTGGTGCGGTACCCTAGAGATAGAATTCTCGCCTCACAATCAGAAGGCTGTGAGTTTGATCCTAGATGGAGGCGGATATTTTTTCTCTCTGAGCACATTGAGAATATATCTGCTGAACAAAATTCCGCATTGGTGACAGGGAGGGCACCCGGCCAGCAGGTGATGATGAACAGGCTGACTTTAGTCACTTAGAGAAGGCTGTAAAGCACTGTGAAGCAATGTATAAGTCTAAATGTTACTGCTATTGCACCTAAGGTGCTACTAGAGGTGCTAAAAAACTTTGGTGATGCATGATAAGCTATATCTAAAAAAAAAAAATCATTTGGACTGAATAAGTTACTTAGATGAGTAAGAAAACATCTCAGTTTTAATAAATTCTGCTCCAGTTGCCATGATTTAACCTTTTTAGATACGTTTGGCCTGGATGATTGAGTCCTCATTTACATGTGATAGCCTATAATCCCTGGCTTATATCAGTTCTTCAAAGTTCTTTGCATACCATAAAGAACCCATTCTGAGGCTGTTGTAACTCCAAACAGTCATAAAAATGACTGACTGTTAAGTCAAGGATTACTTGTACCACAGACATTCTCCTTGCATTATTTCTCAGTTGTAGAAACACAGATAAATAGAAGCGAACAAAATGTAACTACATGACACAGAGTTTGTTCCCTCTTCTGACCATTTGTTCTTGTTTGCAGGTTCATTTTTTAAAAATTCCTCGCAACTCATGCTCTATCTAACTAGGAAGCAGTAGCCTCATAGGCAGCTCATGCAGACCTGCATTATTGTTGCATGAGTCTTGATTTCTACAAAAATTGACTCACTTGATGCGAGGCGGCATCAAAAACATTCTTTTGGGGCACATAGCTACAATATGTTGGGATGCTAGCATAATGCAACACCTGCACTGTATATTGACTCCGTCTCTCCAACTCTTAGAAGAAAACCCTCAACTGCTTGAAGGAGAGCAAGGGAAAGAAAAGGATATTAGCTATGAGAATCCAAGACTGAAAACTGGCAATGTTGACTACAGCAATGGAGAACCAGGTAATTTCTTGCTTTCATTCTTGTTCAGTCTGTCCTTAAAAGCACAAATGCTTTTAAGAGGATACGGTTTGCTTGTCTGGGTCAGCTAATGTTTCCATTTTAGTCCGGTATTCTGCTTTCTACAATGGCTAGCTGGTCTTGGCTAGTACAATATAGCAGCCTGCCCCTTTTTGTTCCCAAGACCTGATAAATCTAGGTTCACATAGGTTAGGTATAAAGGTAAAGGTGTCCACCTATCAATCACTTCTGACTCTAGGGGGTGGTGATCATCTCCATTTCTTAGCGTGGGAGCCAGTGTTACCTGAAGATATTTCCGTGGGCATGTGGCCAGCCTGACTATTAGCCAACGTACGCAGAATGCTGTCACCTTCCCACCAAAGTGGTACCTATTTATCTACTTGTGTTCGCATGCTTTTGAACTGCTAGGTGGGCAGGAGCTAAAGCAAGGAATGGGAATTCACCCCATTGCATGGCACTTGGGTCTCAAACCCAGGCTGTCAGCTTTCCAGCTGACAAGCTCAGCTTCTTTAAATACTGAGGCAATGCGCCCCCATGTTAGATATATCACACATAATTTGTTTAACCAGGTTTTGTTGAATAAACCACAGTGTTGTAAAGAATGAGGAACATTATGGTATAGACTGGTGTGTATGTACAGTCACAATCCAGATGATGCAGAAACTCTGATTGGCATGAACACATAGCTGGGAAACATGCAGGTTCTTTCCTACTTAATTTCTACACATCTGGCTCCTATTAAAAAACAGAAACTGCATTTATGCACCATAGCAAGAACAGGACATAGCCTCACATAATATACACTCTTTAATTAATGAAAGTAAGTTCAGGTCTCTTTCAGGATGATATACCAGTTACCTTTTCCTATGTACAGTACATTTTACAATCTTTGCTTACCCACTGAATTCTAGACCGAATCTTAGTTTTCACTGTAGAATGGAATCATTCGAATCAGAAGAATCCAAATGTTTAATGCCATGTTTAATGTTCAAGCAGCACTGAAAAGGGAAAATGCCAGGAGTGTCACTGATCAACAGACTATTGAGAAGACAAATAATAATCACAAGCCAGTACCTGATTCACGGTCTGGAGAATCAGACTTAAACAAATGTGGCTTGAGGTAAGTTACTTTTTTTTATATAGGTATTCCTTTTATAAGAGAAAAACCAAAATTGCTAGATTAGGAATAGTTGAGAGGTGAAAGCAGGATCACAGTTTCCTCCCTCAGTTATTTTACTTATTAGAATGAATCATGGTAAAGTATTACATCTATGCTAGCCCTAGCTATAGTTAAACCACATTTTCGATGCAGGTTTTAAGCAAAATTTAAAAGTTTGGACGCTGGACCATTGGTAGGTAGTGAATTTTAAATACATCTTTGCACTGCTGACTAATAAAGTCATACTCTCTTCCAAATGATCCCAGGATTCACAATTCTTGTTAATGTTTTAGAATGACCAAAAAACTGTTGAGGGATCTCTGCAAACAACACAAGTTATATGTGACTCCAAGCTTGAATGACACCCTCTATCTCCATTACAAAGGTAAGAAGCCAAATGTTTGAAACTATAATGCACTATAATTGGGCATTTGGAAAAAAAAATCTGTGCGCAAGTAGAGGGAGAGAGGGAGGAAGGAAGGAAGGAAGGAAGGAAGGAAGGAAGGAAGGAAGGAAGGAAGGAAGGAAGGAAGGAAGGAAGGAAGGAAAGGAGGATGGATGCTTCTATAATCCCTTCTGTGTTATGAAGTCTTTCCTAAGCCTTACATGGGGACATTTGAGGTTAAACCACCTTCAGGGCAAGTTGAAGGGTTTCTGATCAAATGAGGGCTGCATTGCAATTCACCCATCCTCATGTATGAGCCGTTCATCCTTTCTGTTCATCTTTGAACATTCTCTCTGTGTTCCAATTCCTGTAGGATTTGATCGTTTGGAGAACTTGGAAGAATATACAGGCTTAAGGTGCCTGTGGCTCGAGTGCAATGGCCTGACGAAGATTGAGAACCTGACCGCGCAGACAGACCTACGTTGCCTTTACCTGCAACTCAATTTGATTCACAAAATTGAGAACCTTGAACCTTTGCAGAAACTGGACTCTCTCAACCTCAGCAACAATTATGTAAAGACCATTGAGAATCTCTGTAAGCATCTCTGTTTCTGAGGAAATAAGACTGGTTCTTTGAATACGGTATTATTTTGCATTAGGATTGTTAGAGAGACAGACAGACGGACAGAGACAGTCAGAGGCGAAGAGAGAGACAGAGAAATAGAGAGAGAGACAGAGACAGAGAACACTGACCAAAACAGCCGTAATAGTTTCTGGTAGTTGTAAAGTCAAGCACTTAATATGTGATGTTTGATACACCCCTTCTGTTTCCTCAGCAGATACTCTAAATTGCCCTTTCTCAAACTCAGACCATTAACTGAGTCCCACATCACAGTAATGGTTTAATTGACTTTGCTTTTTGAAAATAATCACAATTGGCTGGCTTCCCCTAACATGCTAAGCCATTAACTATGTCAGACTAACCCTAGCTTTCTGCATTCACTCCATAAACTAAGACATAATTTCCAACCTTGGCCACTTTAAGAGAGCTGAACTTCAACTTCCCAGCATTCCCCAGCCAGCAAGACTCGCACTTCAAGCCTGAGTACAGATATTTTGTTCCATCAAAAGATAGATAGCCACAATAAATATTAAATACTTCCTTTGCACTTCAATCGATTATTTCCCTTAGTATCTAAAACTGGCAGCCACAAGGGGCTTTACGTAATTCTAACTGTATAAGCTCATTGTCCTTGCTCTAAGGTAAATTTGTTTTTTTTTAAATAAATTTTATTAATGAAACAACAGAAAGAAAAAACATTTAAAAAACAATGTTTTTATTGTTTGTAACTTTGGAAAACACACAAACACACACACACAAAACCACCCCTCAGGATTGTTAGTATTTTCCCAACAAGTGTAAGGCTATACAATGCTACCAAGAGCCACAATGATCCCTCCAGAAATTTTGCGGAAGAAATTTATCTCGGGGCATTTTAATCTAACTACTGTGATTTTTCAACAGCTTGTTTGAAAGTTCTCCACACTCTCCAGATTGCTCACAATTTGTTACGAACAGTGGAAGACATACAGCACTTGCAAGAATGCCCGAGTATCAGCGTCCTCGATCTTTCTCACAATAAGCTAGACGATCCACATATTATAGAAGTCCTGGAAACCATGCCTGATTTGGTAAGCCAATATCCAGCTCTTAGGCTCAACATCGCCTGATTCACCCACATTCAGCAATTCGAAGAGCTTCTTCCAGTTTATTGTTACAGGTAGTCCTCACCTTACGACCAAATTTCTAAGTTACTAAGCAAAGCGTTCGTTAAGTGAGTTTTACCCCATTTTACAGTCCACAACATTTGCCATGTTTGAAGGCCCCTGCTCTACAAACTGAAAGCTGCCCTTCTAAGAGTCTTGCTCATGCAGCATTCAAGACAGTGATGTTCACTTGCTGGTTTAATAATTGGCTATTTCCTCGCATGCTTTCAGATGCATCCCACACCTAACAAGTCTCCCATGCTAACATAGCCTTATTTTGGGTAGCTGGAGTTAACATTTAGGTCTATAAAGGTGATGCTTTTCAAAGAATGGGATAAAAGAAATCCAGGGAGGGGGGAAAGTATGTATAAACAGGGCAAGCTATGGGATTATATCCCATATAATAAGGCAGAGGTCTCCAAACTTGGCAACTTTAAAACTTGTGGACTTCAACTCCCAGAATTCTCCAGCCAGCATAGCATAGAATTCTAGAAGTGGAAATCCACACACAAGTCTTAAAGTTGCCAAGTTTGGAGACCTCTGCAATAAAGGATTGAGAGTTAAACCTGCAGTCACAATGTGGCTAGGAAATGCATTAAAGGCATAAAAATAAATGAGATAAGTGCCTAAAAACAAGTCACTGAAAGTTAGCTTCTCAAAACGTAACATTTAATGGTTTCTTGCTTGTTTTCTTCGACAGCGTGTGTTGAACCTAATGGGGAATGAAGTCATTAGGAAAATAACTAACTATAGGAGGACCCTTACTATCCGATTAAAACAACTGACTTATTTGGATGACAGACCGGTTTTCCCAAAGGAGAGGTAAAATGAGCAAGGAGATTGTTCTCAGCCTCACTAGTAAAAGATTCATAAATATTTAGTTCTAACTACAGATGCATTTTGCATTTGTATATCAAGTGATAACAAAAGATTTTTTAGAAAAAAAAAAATCAATCATTTTTCAGTGCAAAAATCCAGGGTACAAAACCCCTAGAGCTAAACCAAAAGGACTTCTTCATATATAACAGGTAAAGATAAAGGTTCCCCTCGCACATACTTGCTAGTCGTTTCCAGCTCTAGGGCGCGGTGCTCATCTCCATTACAAGGCCGAAGAGCCAGTGCTGCCCGAAGATGTCTCTGTGGCCATGTGGCCGGCACGACTAAACGCCGAAGGCACACGGAACGTTGTTACCTTCCCACCAAAGGGGTCCCTATTTTTCTAGGTGCATTTTTACGTGCTTTTGAACTGCTAGTTGGCAGAAGCTGGGACAAGTAACGAGAGCTCACTCCATTATGCGGCACTAGGGATTTGAACCACCAAACTGCCGACCTTTCTGACTGACAAGCTCAGTGTTTTAGCCATTGATCCACCACGTCCCTTCATATATAACAGCCCCCAGGTAATCTCCCCTTGGTGCATCCGGAGATACACTTTTCTCCAGAGAGGCATTACACCATTAGATCTACATGCACCCAGAAGGTTGAGGGCGGTTCCCAAAACACGAGCGAGGGCAGCATAGCAGTCTAGATTCTAAGAAGCCTCTCTTCTGCACTGCATCCAGCTTTGGTCACCATATTATGAAAAATACATTAAGACTCTGAAAAGAGTGCAGGAAAGAGCAACCATGATGATTAGGGGACTGGAGGCTGAAACATACAATGAACGGTTGCAGGAACTGGGCATGGCTAAGTCTAGCGAAGAGAAGGACCAGGGGAGACGTGACAGCAGTCTTCCAGTATCTGAGGGGCTGCCACAGAGAGGAGGAAGGGGTCAAGTTATTCTCCAAGACCCCTGAAGGCCAGACAAGGAATAATGGGAGGAAACTGAACAAGGAGAGATTCAATCTGGAAATAAGGAGGAATTTTCTGACAGAGCAATCAACCCATCAACTTCTGGAACAGAGGTTGCCTTCAGAAGTTGTGGATGCTCCAACATTCGAGATTTTTAAGAAGAGACTGGGCAGCCATTTGTCTGAAATAGTACAGGATCTCCTGCTTAGCAGGGGAATGGACTAGAAGACCTTCAAGGCCCCTTCCATCTCTGTTAGGAACTTTCTATAGAAAATGGCTGAAGCCCACTTCCGGCTATCTCATGGAAATCCTCCTTTTCCCCTTCAGAGCCTGCGCAGAAGCCTGGGCTGCAGGAGGACGGGATGCTGAAAAGAAAGAAAAGGAAACGTGGGAATCGAAAGAAAGGAAGAAGATACAAGACAGCATGGATGCTCTCACTGCAGTCCGAGAAAAAGCCAAAGAGAGGAAAAAACAGAAGGAAATGAAAGAAAGGGACAGCGGCTCAGTCGATGAAGGTTTGTGACTTTTGTAAAATGTATTCTAGGCCACACTTAATAACATTCCTTAATAACATTCATGTTTTTAATTTATTTGTTTATTAAATTTTTATGCCACCCATCTCCCCTGTAAAGTAACTCTGGGTGGCACAAATAAATGCATGTTACTACCCTCATTTTCTCCTTGATAAATGAGCCCAAAATGGTGCCACTAAAGTTCATATTGCAGTATTCTTAAATATATTTAAGCAAGTTTTAATTCAGTCAGTTTGTATATTTAGTTCATACTTTAAAGAAGCCAGGACAAATCATCCTTGTGCGTGTAATTTTTTTTCAACAAATGCCAGAATTGAATCTACCGACAGTTTGTTTTTAATCTGTCATTTGGACCATTCTAGAGATGATCCCATCTTCAAGCAACGATGCCGTGGCCGAAAATGGGACGGAGACATCAGATGTTTTGGAACCACTGCAGACAAAGCAGAAGATTGAGAAATTTGTGAAAGACACTTTTGGCGCCCACAAAGAAGCTATAGCTGCAGAGGAAATCTTGGGTGATCAGTCGAGGAGATCAGAGAATAATCCACATGAGCAGGAAGCACAGGAAGCGGAATTGAAGGTGGCTCCTGGCTTTACAGCTACTGAAAAAGGTAAGGGGCATCTGTAGATAAGAAAGCAGTTGGGATGCCAAGAACGATCCAGAGTTGCCTTGAAGGGAAAACCATACAGGTAGCTTTGGACTTAGGAAGCTACAACAGCACTAAAATAGAAATAGAATAACAGAGTTGGAAGGGACCTTGGAGGTCTTCTAGTCCAACCCCCTGCCTAGGCAGGAAACCCTACACCACTTCAGACAAATGGTTGTCCAATCTCTTCTTAAAAACATCCAGTGATGGAGCATTCAGGACTTCTGGAAACAAGTTGTTCCACTGATAAATTGTTCTCGCTGTCAGGAAATTCCTCCTTAGTTCTAGGCTGCTTTTCTCCTTGATTCATTTCCAACCAATGTTTCTTTTCCTGCCCTCAGGTGCTTTGGAGAATAGCTTGACCCCCTCTTCTTTGGGGCAGGCCCTGAGATACTGGAAGACTTGTGTCATGTCTCCCCTAGTCCTCCTTTTCATTAGATTACAGACCCAGTTCCTGCAACCGTTCATGTTTTAGCCTCCAGTCCCCTAATCACCTGGAAGAAAGGGAATTACAGCTGGTCCTTGCACTTAGAACCCTTGCAGTATCCCCACGGTCAGGTAATCCAAACTCAGGGACTGGAAGAGTGATAAGATACCGATAGAAGGAAAAATAATTGAAAAAATATTTGAATGTGCAGAAATGAACAGGCTGACACTAGAAATGAAAGAAAAAGGAGAATCTGAATATTATATGGTATGGGGTTTGTTTTATCAATGGATAGAAAATAGAACAAATTAAAAGGGATTAGATGTACAGAGCAATAAGAGAAACTAATGTAATAGACATATTGGATTTCATTTATATTATATATATATATGGGAATGTGATTATTGTTATGTTAAATTTGATAAGAATATTGTTAATGGTTAAGTAATTGGAATATGTACATAATCGACGCACGATTGAAATGGAATGGATTTTTTGTATATAATTTTTTTAAAAAAAATTACAAAAAAAACCCCACCAACTGCCAATAATAGATTAATTGATGCATTTGCCTTGGGACAAGGGGTCTTAGGTTACCGCCACTAGGGGGCAGCATTATGAAGCTATTCCCCTCCCCAAATTCTGAGCCTGCTTATTCAGCCTCCAGGGTCACTCTAGCTAGCAACCCTTTATCAGACATAAAGCTAAGGTTAGCAACTCCATTTTATTTATTCATTTCTTATCAATCAATCAAATGTACATGGCCGCCCCACCATCGAAAGTGACACTGGGTGCAATTGTACAACTTGAATGGTAACATTTTGTTGCCAGAGGTTAGCCCTGGGTTTTGAGGGTTTGTTTCCAGAAATCTAAACCTTGGGGGGGCGGGAAAGGTTAAAGGCGTGTTGTAGCTGATGGGTACCCAGCCCTGATAATAACGGAATCCAGATTTGCTGAAGATTTTTGTCTCCTTTTTAGAAACCGTTTATAGATTTTCTACCGAAGGGCCACTGCGAACTGAGTGCACTGACCTGACAGATATTGAACACATCACGTTGGACGTGCCAGAAAAACTTTTCCTTGATGTAAGTTTTAACTGCAGGACAGGAAAGATGGGGTGAAATTGTTGTGGTTCGCAGGCAGCCGGTGCAGCCTGCAGCAGAATCAGATAGTGGGGGAAAGGGGACCAGTCAGGGAGTCTGGAGGGGACTCGGATGAGGGTCCTGCACCCGATACAGAGATGGGGCCAGGACCATCTGAAAATGGGGTGTTTACTTTGGAGCCTTCGGAGTCTGGCAGCAGTGAAGAAGAGGACCCAGGGGAGCCTGCTCCCAGTGCGCATGTGTGCAGAGCTGCTAGAAGGTGAGAGCAGCTGAAGCAGAAGGGGTGACTCGGGAGTAAGGCTGGGAGGTGATTGCCCCTCGCCTAAGGGATAAAAGTCAGACCTCAAGGACAAACTTTGCAGGAAGCAAAGTAGTTCAATCAATTCCGAGTCATCCTTGAAGCTCTATGTAATTTGGTTGGTTTTTTCTTGTACTTTGGTTGGTTTCTTTTATAGTTAATTGGATACTTCTGTTTTTGGGCGCATTCCACAGAACTGAAAGGTGTGTGCTTATCTTGGGGGGCTATTTAAGATTAGTTCCGTTTGGGCATGAAAACAATTCCCAGCATTGCAATAAAATAGGTTTTGCTTTTAAAACAAGTTTGTGATTAATTACGATTTACAAAGCCTGGGTCAGAACAGGAGGGCCAGGATGGAAACATGTGTTCCACGACAGTTCCCTTCCCTTCCCTACCCACCACATTCTCTTGAAAAGCTCTTTTTCTTCAATAAATATTCTGATATTTTTCAGGAACTTCCTGACTTAGAAGATATAGATACTCCCGGCGAAGAGTCACTGAAGGAAGATATCTTCACCAAAAAGGTCATTTCCCCCGCCCTCTCTAAGGTTAACAACTGCCACAAAAAGAAATGTAAAATTGGGCTTGTCGTGTTTACAGCCATCACAACTTACAACCATAAAAGGCATGCTCCATTAGAGTTGTAAGTCAAGCCCCACCCCATATACAGATTCAAAGGTAATTTCAAATATGCCAATAAGACAGTGGTTTCTTTTCTGTTTGCATCATTTTCAGAAGGGAAACACGTTAAAAACACATTTACAAATATAGAATAATGTGAAGAAACATTTTTTTTTAAAAAGCATACCTTCAGACAGCTATTCTGAAATTACATGTCTGGATGAGAAAAAAAGAATAGATCTCAATATCAGAATCTTTAACAATACTGCCAGAGCTTTTCCCACAGAGAACTGGCAAATAAGACACAGCAATTAAGAGGATATAAAATAGAGATTGCAGATCAACTCCTTCCAAGTTTAAAGAATGGAATCCTTTGGTATTTTCATAATAGCAAATGTATTAAAGCAGAGGTGTCCAACCTTGGCAATTTTTAAGACATGGCCCTGGGGAATTCTGGGAGTTGCAGTCCACAAGTCTTAAAATTGCCAAGATTGGTCACCCCTGTATTAAAGTAGGTGCTTTCACACAAGCCCACTTTGCCAAATGCATGAAAGACATAGAAGTGTAAGGAAAAGTTGTAGAATTAATGTAATACACAAACCCATAATAGCCATTTAAAATAACATGGCTAGGGGCAGGAAACTGACATATTCATATGAAGAACTAATTCACATTATATAGTGTTTTGACAACCATTCCTAACCAAGTCACAAGAGACAGAATGTTAATCCTGATTACTGTAAGCAAGTTTAAATTCTTGATTTATTTTAAGAAACAAAATGGTTTAAAATGACGTGAATCTTGGGTACCAGGATTCTATTACAAATTGTCCTTGGCTTACAAACATTTGTTTAGTGACTATTTGAAGTTAAAAACAGCTCTGAAAAAAGTGACTTATGACCATTTTTCACACTTGCAACCTTTGCAACATCTCCCTGATCATATGATTAAATTTCAAACGCTTGGCAACCAGCGCATATATATGATGGTTGCAGTGTCCCAGGGTCATGTGATAATCTTTTGTGGCCTTCTGACAAGCAAAGTCGATGGGGAAGCCAAATTCACTGAACAACCATGTTACTAACTTAACAACTGTGGCAAGAAAGGTCGTAAAATAGAGCATAATTCATTTAGCAACTATCTTGCTTAGCAACAGAAATTTTGGGCTCAATTGTCGTAAGTCAAGGACTATATGTAGCAATAACATTTAGACTTACATACTGCTTCACAGTGCTTTTACAGCCCTCTCTTAAGCGGTTTACAGAGTCAGCCTCTTGCCCCCAACAATCTGGGTCCTCATTTTACCCACTTCGGAAGGATGAGTCAATCTTGAGCCGGTCAGGATTGAACTGCTGGCAACGGGCAGAGTTTAGCCTGCAATACTGCATTCTAGCCACAAGGAGGGAGGGAGGGAGGGAGGAAGGAAGGAAGGAAGGAAGGACAAAAGCAATAGACTTACATACCACTTCACAGTACTTTACAGCCCTCTCTAAGCAGTTTTACAGAGTCAGCCTATTACCCCCAATAACAATCTGGGTCCTCATTTTACCGACCTCGGAAGGATGGAAGGCTGAGTCAACCTTGAGCCTGGTGAGATTCGAACTGCCAAATTGCAGGTAGTCAGCAGAAGTATCTTGCAATACTGCACTCTAACCACTGTGGCTCATGTGGTAGAAAGAAATCCATTTTATGCTGTTTGTTTCACCTTTACAGCAAATATCTCCACCCAAAATTGAAGTGATTTCTGAAACCAGCCATGACAGAAGCTGTACTGAGGGAACCATTGCCACTTCTGACAATTCACTAACATCGGAAGTCTTAAACTCCATTTTTTCACAAGTTTCTAAAGTACCTGAAGTCAAAGAAACCATTAGGCCGATTGTCCAAGATCTTCTAGCACCACAAGAGAAAACTGAGGAGCACCAAGCAAAACCTCTAGGACCTTTAATTGAAGACATCACTCCTGAATCTCCAGAGCCTTCACAGCGTGATCGAGATGGACTAATTCCAGATGCTACCAAAAACATAGAGATTCAGTCCAGATCACCTTGCCTAGGTAAATTTACACAGACAAACATTGACCTGAGTCCATAATGATCTGTCTGTGGCTCTCAATAACGTTGGAAAAAATCCAGTTAGTAACTTTACTTCTTCTCAGAATTGCTCACTGAAATAAGTCTAGCTTATACTTCTAGCATATGTACAAGGTACAACCTAAATGCCGATGAAAATTCTCAGTCATAGCTGTCTGAAACTTAAATCATGGCAACTGGTTTTTGTTTTTTGTTTTTTTTTTGGGGGGGGGAGCTTCACACTGAAGAAACTTTGATAAGAAGCAAAAGGTTTTCACACTGAAAAAGAACGAAAAAATGCCCAGTTGCCATGACTCAAGTTCCAGACAAGTACACATATTCCAGACAAGTACTATATTTCTTTAGAAACAAAATTTGATTGTTTCAGTGCTTGGGTTTATATGGCAGGCTAAAAAGCTAGGTTGGTTAAATCATGGTTTACTAAACAAGACGCAACCTGCAAACTATTTGGGGAACACAAATGTGGTATGAATAATAAGCAACGCTAAGCCACAAATAGGGGCTTACAGCAAGTAAGGAAAGCTTAATGTGACCCATTGAAATAGTGAATAATGAATCCAGTCACCAGGTCAGTGCTTAGGGCTGTATAAGCCTGCCTGCATGGAATTACACATACCTATTATTTGTGAGTTTTTGGTTTAAGATCTAGTTCACATTTGGAAAGGCTCATATACCATTTTATCACAAAGCAAAGCAGTGCGATAACGATATATAATATCAGTAAAGGCTGCATCAGCCAGCAAACATAAATGTATTATAGAAACTGTGTTCAGAAATAAAAAAACACAGATCCTGATATTTTTTGAACAGAAGATTGAATCAACTAGCATGTATACCTTTTAATTTATTTTAAAATATACACAGCACTTCAATCACAGATTGTAAGTGGCTTACAACAAGTACAAAAATGTCTATAGCAAAATAACCATCAATAAGTATCAAATCAAGAGGTCAGGTTTTTTTACTTTCCAAAAAAGTTAGCACAACTCTCATAAAAATTCACCATGGACCGCTCTTAAGGCTTGTAGCTCCAATTCTTCAAAGATAGCCTCGTGTAGAGCGAGTAGCAGAAGTTTAGCTGCAAGATGACAAGGGAATGAATATTGCCAGCCTTATTCCATTTCAGGATGAGATAATATATTGGTTTTATCAAAGTATTTCAGAAATCAGCAGCAAACGCCTGAGTCTCTGCATTAGATGACTCACACATTGTCCTAAACCATGCTTTGTTGAATGAACCCCAGTACATGCAACAAAGTGCAGATATAAGTCAAAGATAAGCCATATCAAGTGCTTGCAAACCACAGTAGCTAGGTTCATACAATATCTTAACACCAAATCAATTCACATTCGGATTAGGGCAATGCAACTTGGAACTAAGGAGAAATTTCCTGACAGTTAGAACTATTAATCAGTGGAACAACTTGCTTCCAGAAGTTGTAAATGCTCCAACACGGGAAGTTTTTAAGAAGAGGTTGGAGAACCATTTGTCTGAAGTGGTGTGGGGTTTCCTGCCTAAGCAGGGGGTTGCACTAGAAGACCTCCAAGGTCCCTTCCAACTCTGCTATTCTATTCTATTCCTATTCTATTCTATTCATAAACTCCACCTACAGAGAAGTAAGTCTGATTAGGAGTTTGAGATTCTGAAGAACTTCTAGGTTCTGAGCTGAGAATCTTAGGAGGTTCTTAGAAGAACCTCTAAGATTCTGGGTTGAGCTGAGAACCAAGATGACGGGAACTCAAGGAGATGGCGGCATACTCGAGGATTTCTGTGCAGTTTTGTCTTTTGTTCTGCTGGGAGACCACTCAGGAAATGTGCTTGCTTGTTTTATTTCATTCTGAATCAGCTCAATGTCCCCTGTGGAGTCACTTCAAGCCAAATAACTGCACAGGCTCCCTCCTTTGAGAAGCCTTACCACAGCTTTATCGGCCTAGCTGTCTTTTTTGCCTCCCAACAGATGCAGAGCGGCCAGTAGTAGAAGCGGACAAAGATGCTGAGCAGGCGTTGGACTGAGGAGTGAGACGGAGACGAGGATTCACCCTGACGGTTTTACCAGCCTGATCCCTCTCCCTGAGGTTCTCCACCTGCCACTTGGATCGCAAACATGCACGTGTGATAGCCTGGACTGGGGACATCCAGAGCCTGCCCCATGGCATGGGGCTAGGAAGCCTCTATGGCAGCTCCTCAGCATTTGAAGTAAGAATTCATTTTTAACTTTTGTGGTTCTGTTAGCATAATGCAGTTAAAGCACTGAATCGAAAGAGAAGCAATTTAAGTCCCGGTTGTTTTGTCTCATCCCAGTACAATCCAATGTTTCCCAGTTTCATTGCCCTGGGCCTTCTGGGACAGCCGGTTATTGAGTTGCTGTTGCATATTTCTCCTTGGATTTATTTCTAAATGTAGGTCAGCTTCAATAAAGGTTTCTCTTTTCTCAGTTGTGTGCAGCTCATTCCTCATCCTGCTTTTTGGTTGGCCTATTCAAGGCAAAGACCAGGATCCCCTCCTGCCTTGTATTTTTCACAGCTGGTATGAGAAGCCCTTCAGTCGTAGATTCCCCCTTAAGTCCAAGATGGATGACTTTCACAAACAGGAGGAAAAGATTTGCTAAGGGCTATGAGGCACAGCCCTGTAAATCGAGCGTTTCCCTCCCTGTCTGAAATCTGCCCTTTGTAATTTTCCAACCTGTCTTGGGAAGGGGAGTAACCCCCAGGGATCAGGATCCTTCTCAGCTTGTCAGAAGACACTCACCTGTATGCCAACTTAAGCTTGGGGCTTCCGATTGCCTCGGCCTCTGTAGCAAGCCTCATTCTCTAGCGTTAGCGCCCTACAGATGGACAGTGGTTGAGGCTCTGTCCAGGCTTGTGCTGTCCAGCCTACACGGAAACAGGGCTCAGCAGACACTCAACCTCTTTAAACCCAGAATTTGCACCTTTACATATCAAAAAAAAAATGCGAGACTGCTTAGCGTTACTATCAACTAGATATTAGAAATGAAATGCAAAGTGGTATCCGGATAGACCTAATATCTACAATTCTGTTTTTAAACATTTGTGGAATATGCTACAGGAGAGGGAGATTTGGGACATGAAAGCAAAGGACAGAGAAATCGGTGCAAACATCCCGTATTCCTGCATCACCAATGAACAGGGATTCCCTTCGGTATTCAATAGGTTGGCTATTCCCAAGGATGAAAGAGAAGGTACACACTCACACCCATCCTCAAAAACAAAACAAAACGTCCCCTTTTCCACTTTGGGAGGGATTTATAGTGATACCATCCAAATCCAAGAAACTCAACTTTCGATTTGTAGATGTCTTAAATTCCCCAGAATGTGGGAGAATTACACCATAAATTACAAGAGAATCCTCCCACCGTGTTTGAAAATCAGATTCAGATGAAACTTCCCTCATCTCCAAGAGATGCTAAAACATTTTATAACTTCTCACTTCAGGACTTGGGAGACTAACCCGTCGTCCCCAAGAAGAATCAGGGATATGCCAAAGTCATAAGCTCCAGAGTCGCATAGAAAAAGCCAATAAAAGTAAACTTGAAGGAAATTCTTAAAATGGTTCATTTTTAATATATGTGTCTGTTTTCTAGGAGAGTGGGTCATTCTTAATATCAGGTCCGATATGTATTCTTCATTGCTCATAAAGAGGCTGTTGAGAAATTAAAGCACAATAGACCAAACACAATTGAGCAAAATTCACCTGGAATTTTAGATGCCAGTGGTATCTTCTCTTGCCAATGGCTAGCTTATGTCATTATTTATTAAGCTATAAAGTGTTCCCCTTCCATATTTGTCAAATGATTGGCTAATCCTTCAGTAACCCCACCAATAAAGGTCCAGTTTGGTGCAATGGTGAAGGCCCCAGGCTAGAAACCAAGAGACTTTGACTATGGAGATTCTCAGGTCGTGGTTGTCTCAAAGGTGCTTTTTTCAAGAGGCAATTGGACTTTCTGGTTTTGTTTTGAAGACATGTCTCTTCTCATCAGAAGAAGCTTCTTTAGCTTCTTCATCCGTGAAGCTTCTTCAGAGCTGAAGAAGCTTCTTGGGTGAGAAGTGAAACGTTTCCAAAAAAAAAAAAAAACCCAGAAAGTCCAGTTGCCTCTTGGAAAAGCACCTTTTGAGTTCTAGGACAACTATAGGCATGAAAAACTGGCTGGATAAATTTGGGCCAGTCCTTTTCTCTCAGACCAACCCACCTCACAAGATTGTTTTTCTGTGCAAAATAGGAGGAGGAAGGAATATCAAGTATGCTCAATGCCTTGAGTTAATAATAATAAAGGAGCTGTACAAATAATTGAATTAATTAAACCATGCAGCGCTGGGTGGTCAGGTGATTGATTGTCAAAGTACAGAAGAAAACAGAAAAGAAGCAAACATCAGATTCTTTCAAGCTCTTTTTTTTTCCTGCAAGAGAACACATAAAGTCCCTTTAAAGAGAAAAAGAAAAAAGTAAAAAGGATATTGGCCAACTATCAACAAATTAAAGGCAACTTTCCTGGAGCTTAAAAGCCTAGCGGTATTTTTTCCCTGCAGAGCGGTTCATACCTATGTGGGCCACTGGGGGCAGTATATGCTATGTCTTAAATGCATTGGGTTATTGTACAGGTCATCTTTGAACTTCCAGCCATTCATTCATTCCGTGACTTTTCGAAGTGACAATGGCACTGAAAAAAGTAACTTACCACCGGTCGTCGCACTTACGACCATCACAGCATCCCCCAAACAGTCACACAATCAAAATCTGGACCCCTTGGCAATCCGCATGTATTTATGACAGTTGCAGTATACCGGGGTCATGTGATCACCATATGGGACCTTCCCAGCTGGCTTCCGACAAGCAAAGTCAATGGGAGAAGCCAGTTGCTTAACGACCATGTGATTCACTTTACAACCATGGGGAAAATGGTCATGAAATCCGGACCAATTCAGCCGCCCTGCCTATCGATGGAAATTCTGTTCCAAATTGTGGTTGTAAACCAAGGACCCCCTGCACACTCAAAATGGATAAGCTATTCATGCTGTACCTTGTACTGCCCCCCTGTGGCTGCTTGGGGCGTTACAGGCTCCATGGGGTGTGGGGGGGGGGGAAGGGGGCAAAGCAATTTTCCTATAGCAACATTGTCCACCCCCCGCCACCTTTGGTTGAATTGGGTTCTGGTAGTTGAAAGGCCAGTAATATAGAGCAGGGATGGACAGCTATGGCAAAGAGTGGTGCGGTGTGAACAAAACTCCGCATTGGCGACAGGAAAGGCATCCAGCCAGTAAACACCCAGCTCCATTCAGTTGTCCAGACTCCATCCCACAAGGGATTATGGGCTTGTTAAAAAGAAGATGATGGACAGCTACGGCAACTTTTACAACCTGTGAACTTCAACTCCCAGAATTCCTGAGCCCGCACGGAAATTCTGGGAGATGAAGTCCACGGGTCGTAAAGTCACCAGAGCTGCCCACCTCTGATAAAGAGCAGTGGGATGACATGATCTCAGCCACTCTCGACTTCCAATCAGTTCTTAAAAGGAATGATATCAAAAGTTAAGCCACAGATACTTTTCACAGCCCTCAAAGCATCCTGGAATTTACAGCTCAAATTAGGGTTTAACCCCTTTTAGCTAAATCAAGAAACTCCAGGAGTTTGAAAAACTGGACCAAAATCCCAAATCAGAAACGTCAACTGGGATTCAAGAGGAGTCAAAAAAATGTGAGCTGAGAAGACATAAAACAGGAAAAGGATCACTTAACCCGAGGTTGGTTCCTACGTGAGGTCGTGTTTGTTGAACAGCCTAGAGATAAAACAGATAACACTAAGAACACCAGACACGGTTGGCTAATCACCACGCCGGCTGTGGATGAAGGAAGTTGTTGTCCAAAATACCTGGAGGGCACCAGGTTGGAGGAGGCTTGCTAGAGTATGCAGAACAAACCAGTTGAATGCATGGCCTCCAACCCCACCCCACCCACCCCCCCAAAAAATTAACCACTTGAACGCATGGAGCTCTCAGCTCGAATAGAGTGTCCTGAACTGGTCCAAATAGCAGCACAAGAGTTATGTTGGAAACAGTCTTTCCTTGTGAAGTGTGTGTGTGTGCGTGTGTGTGTGTGTGTCGGCCACCGGAATCCCATACAAAGTCAGCAGACAAAGCCGTGTTTTCCAGAAGTCACTATTCATCTCCCGGGCAAGAGGTACTGAAGACGAGGCTCTGGTCCTCAGGACGACTTCTTATTTTTGCTCTTCTCCAGCTGTTCCACAGTGAGCATCTGCAGACTGGTGCAAAAAATAATAATAATAATAATAATAATAATAACAACAACAACAACAACAACAACAACAACAGGAAGTATGGTACAACAAGGCAGAGTTACTGCCCAAGAAAAGGAGAGAGAGAGGTAGTGATGGGTTTTTTTAAAAAAAAAGGCGGGCGGGGCTGATCTAGAACAGGACAGAATAAGAGAATGACAGAATGGCAGAGTTGGAAGGGACCTGGGAGGTCTTCTAGTCCAGCCCCCTACTCAAGCAGGAGATTCTTACAGAATCAGAGAAAACCAGAGTGGGAAGGGACCTTGGAGGTCTTCTAGACCCCTGTGCCATTTTAGACAAATTGTTGTCCAGACTCTTCTTAAAAATCTCCAGGGATGGAGCACCCGCCACTTCTGGAGGCCAGCAACATTCCTTGCTGTATTGTACCGTCTATTAATCAATCGGCATCAATACAGATAGTCCTCGACTTACAACAGTGTGATGACCCGGGGGATGGCACAAAGGCAACACAGTCAGACAATCAGTAGGAGTCCCTTTATTAGCTCCAACTTTGCCCCTAATGTCCTGGTTACCTTCTGGGCTGGAGAAAAACTCTCCCAGGAACAGCCTTTGGCTGCAGAGAATCAAGTCCAAATTGTGGTCAACAAAAACTGGAACTGTAACTCCAATCAAGGCAAAGTGAGATAGTTGGTCTGGCAGGGTAGGAGCAAGAATTCCAGATGTGAAGACACGGCAATAACTCAACATGGTTGGGAAGTCCCCAGGAACACGGGATACACACAGGCAACACAAGATAAACTCACAATTGCTCCCAGCAGCTGCTGCACTCGGCATGCGTCTCTTTTAAACTCTCATTCCCAGGTCTGGCTAATGAAGGGAATCAGGGCCCTTTCCTCCCCCGTAAGCCATGCAACCCACATTGCTCTCTTCTCCATTCCTCCCTGCGTGCCCTAGGATGAAGAGAGGATGGGCCTAGGTCTTCCTCTGCACCCCCCCTCTCCCTTGTTCTACCTCTCTCCTGCTCTGCCCAGCCTGACTTTGCCCTTCCCCAGTTTCCTCCACAGCCAACGTAGCCACATTCCCACTCCCTGTCAACTGTTCGTCTTCTTCCTCGGATTCAGACTCCGACGGGCAGGACAAACAGTTTGTTTAGTGACCTTTCAAAGTTACAACGGCACTGAAAAAAGCAAATTACGGCTGTTTTTCACAGTTACGACCTTTCCAGCATTCCTATGATGTCATCCAAATTCAGATGCTTGACAGCTGACTCACATTTATGATGGTTGCAGTGTCCCAAAGTCATGTTATTCCCCCTTTGCAACCTTCTGACGAGAAAAGTCAAGGGAAGAACCAGGTTCACTTGATAACTGGGTTATTAACTTATCAGCTGCAGCAATTCACTTAACAACAGAGCAAAGAAAGGTCATAAAACGGGGCAAAACTCACTTCACAAGTGTTCCACTTAACAACAGAAATTCTGGTTGTAAGTCAAGGACTATCTGTGCCTGAAAGCATTCTCAGCATCCCTGGGCATTAGCCAAGGTGATGATGCTTCAGGGCATCTTGTCAAAATAAAAATAAAGATCACCTTACAAACACCTTATTTCACTTCAAAAATAAATGCTATGGGCATCTGTGTCTGCTTACGTCTATTGCAGAAACAAACAGGACATGCATACATGAGAAGGATAGAGAAAATACTGAACTACAATAGCTTGTCAATGACATTGTTTCAGTTCACCATATTAAGTGAATTTTTTTAAAAAAGAACGATTGCTAATCTGGAAATAAATCTTTTTAATCTCAGATGCGGGAGGCTTTAATCTGGATTCTTGTCCTTTGCAAGGGATTTGCTTGAACAGCCTCTTTCAGATTTGGGATTATATTCCTCTACTTAATGTGCATAAACTGTGGGATGCATGACTTTTTTTTTTCTCTGAAGGAAAGCCGCTCTTCTGCAGATCTGACCTCTGAGGGGTGAGTGGGACCAGGATACAAATGAAACATGGTTTCACTTAGGCTTAATATTAAAATAAAATATCATTAGCATGTCTGCTTGTTGGTTGTTCATTTAATAATTTCCTCCCTCTGCTATCTGAGGGGGGAAAATAAATCACATTAGGAGCAACTTCTGGAGATTTCTGATGGCCACACTCCGAGAACCTTCGATGCTTATGCACGTCTTAAATGTGCAGGTGTATTTTATTTATTTATTAAATGTATATGCCGCCCCATTCACTATCCAAAGCAAATATGGGCAGCTAAAGATTAAAAAGGTCTGGTTGTGCATGATGAAAAATTTACTTGGAAGTGATGCAGATCATAGCAACGTTGTCCTAGTTAAGTGCAGCAGCATGTTATTCCTGTGCTGATGAACATAGAATAATATGCTTGGGAGGAGCCTTGGAGGTTGTCTAGTCCAACCCACTGCTCAAGCAGAAGACCCCATGCTATTCTACCTGTGTCTACATATCAAGCCTCATTTTATTCAAGAAATGACACTGACCTTTCTTGAGACAGCAATTATTCATACTCGTGCAAAAGCATCGCTTTTGATCAGTTGTTCTTTGCAATACTGCGGCCAAATATTTTGAGCAAAGTTTTTGGGAAGGTGGCCCTGCGAAATACCTGTTCTTCAGGCAGAAGTCTTGCCTGGGAAATGTCCCTGTTTGAAGTTTTGGAGAACAGATTGGAACAGACCCTAGAGGTCTTTTAGTCCAGTGGTTGCCAACCGGTGGGCCGTGGCCCACTGGTGGTCCGCAAGAAAATTTTGGTGGTCTGCAAAGAAATCTCATCCCCAGAGCACACACCCCGCCACAAAGCAATTAATCCAGGCTGTGCAGGAACACAAGGCTGCCCTGCCCACATGGCCCGCGGGAATCCTCCCCGCCCGCTCACTCCTCACCTGGCACACTTGCCTGCTAAGTTGCTATTTTTCCTTTTTCTTTTCCCCGACCATCAGCTGTTCTGCTGTGCCGGGAGATTTAGATTAGCTAGAAAGCAGGAAATGGTTGGATTTCTTGCTTTGTAGCTAATCTTTAGATCTTCGGCTCTGCTTAAAAGCAGAGCCGAACCTTCCTTAAGACTGAAGGTTCTCTTATTCAGTTGCAGACTCAGATAGCCGATGGCAGAAACACAGATCTCTAAGTGAATCTGTGATTCTGTGAGCAACTCTCAATCTGCCTGCCTGCTTTGCTTGATTTTGGGTAAAAGTTGCTCTTTTTTAATAAAAAAAAATCAATATTTACATCAATATTTATAATATTTACATACAAGCCATGCCCAGCCAGTCACATGACCACCAAGCCACACCCACAAATTAGGCCACCCCCAAGAACCGCTTGTTAAGAAATTTGAATCCCACCCTTTCTGTGTGTGTTTGTGTGTATGAGAGAGAGAGAGAGGGAGGGAGGGAGAGGGAGGGGGTTAGATCATCTCTCTCTCTCTCTCTCTCTTTCTCTCTCCCTCCCTCCCTCCCTCCCTCCCTCTCCCACCAATGTCAGCAAGCTACCATCAGTCAAAATTCATATTAGTGGTCTCCGGGATTTAAAATTATGAGTTTGTTGGTCCCTGAGGTCCAAAAGGTTGGCGACCCCTGTTCTAGACCAACCCTCTGCCCAAGCAGGAGATTTTATTCCATTCCAGGCAATTTTTTTTTTTAAAGAAAACCCCAGTGATAAGAGCACCCACAATTTCTAGAATGGCTGGCCATTCCACTGATAAATTGTTGTCGCTTTCAGGAAATTTCTCCCAAGTTCTAAATTGGATCTTTCTTCAATAAGCTTCCATCCCTTGCTCCTTGTCCTACCCTCTGATGCTTTGGAGAACAGTCGACCCTCAGATCTCAAACCAGATTTTGCTGATTTTCAGTTGCATGATATCCGCTGGAGAAGCAGAATGGCACTGAACTGGAGGCCTACAGGGGATTGGAAGACGCCTGGCGGCATCAACCACCACGAGCATCGGCTCTCTGATTTAGGAAGTGGAGTTTACACATGACAAATTTAACATGTCAGAATTCGACATATAGAACAAGAGTGCTGGAAGGGATGTCTCTTGGTTGTCTTCTAGTCCAACCCGCTGTTCAAGCAGGCGGCCCTATACTATTTCACACAAAGGTTTTGTCCAATTTCTTATTAAAAGGCTTCAGTGATGGATCACCCACAACTTCTCACAGCAAACCGTTCCACTGCTAAATCGTTCTCCATGACGGAAAATTCTCCTTCGTTCTAGATAGGATCTCTCTTTGATAATCTTCCATTCATTACTTCTTGTCCTACCTTCTGGTGCTTCAGAGAATGGTCGACTTCTCGGTGACAGCTGGAAGACGGCTATTGTGTCACCCTTAATCCTTCCCTCCATTAGGCTAGACATAGCTGTGGTAATTCCTTCTGTTGTTCATCATACAGTTTAGCCAGTGGTGGGATTCAAAAATGTTTACTACTGGTTCTGTGTGCGTAGCTTGGTGGGCATGGCGCGGCTTGGTGGGCGTGGCTTGGTGGGCGTGGCTTAGTGGGCGTGGCAGGGGAAGGTTACTGCAAAATCTCCATTCTCTCCCCACCCCGCTAACCTGCTTTCCAGCTCGGTTCTCCTGTTTAGGGCAACCAAAGGAGACCCAGCCAATCAGCTGGGACTCAATGGGAGGCAGAGAAGAGATGGGGTTGGCAGAGCGAGTCAGAGGTGGGAATTGCCGGTTCTCCAAACTGCTCAAAGTTTCCGCTACCGGTTCTTCAGAACTGGTCAGAACCTGCTGAACACCACCTCTGAATTTAGCCTCTTGGCCCCTGATCGTCTTGGTTGCTCTTCTCTGCACCCTTTCCAGAATCTCAACATCTTTTTTTTTTTATTCTGGTGACCAGAACTGGATGCCGTATTCCAAGTGTGGTCTCACCAGTGCACTATATAAAGCGGTGCAATCACTTCCTGTGATCTGTGTACCACATCTCTGTGTTTCCCCTTCTGCAGGTCCGTCTCTTACCCCAGACAAATCAGCCTCCACGTCATTTAAAGCCCACTCACTCGACGGGATCATGGGATTAAAAGCCTAACAGAAAGAAAGAAAGAAAAGTTAGAATGGCCCTGAAAAAAGTGACTTATGACTGTTTTTCACAGTTACGACCTTTGAAACATCCCCACGATCATGTGATCAAAATTCAGATGCTTGGCAATTGGTTCATACTTATGACTGTCGCTGTGTCCCAAGGTCAACCTTCTGAAAAACAAACTCCATGGGGAAGCTGGATTCACTTAACAACCAGGTTACCAACTTATCAACTGCAGTGACTCACTTAACAGCTGTGGCAAAAAAGGTCATAAAATGAGGCAAAACACACTTAAGCAATATCTCACTTAATAACAGAATGTTTGGGCTTAATTGTGGTCATAAGTCACAAGTTGAAGTCTACCTGTAATCACACAGGTAGAGCATCCTTGTTGTTTTTTAACCCCTCTTGTGGACATCTCTAACCTGATGGTTTTCAAACTTGGCAACTTTAAGACTTGTGGGACTTCAACTCCCAGAATTCCCCCAGTCAGCTTAGGTAATTTACCTCCAGAGATCTGTTGGTTTCCAGACTGTATTGCGGGTTTCTTAGAAAGATCTGAAAGCCTTCCAAATTCAGATCAGCCCCGTCCCAGAGATCAGGTATGACTGTTCTGAAGAAACATAAAAAAGACAGCTGTCCAGAAAAAAAAACAGGTGATTTTCAGATCGATCAGAATAGAGTTGGAAGGGACCTTGGAGGTCTTCTAGTCCAGCCTCATGCTCACGCAGGAGGCCACATATACCATTTCAGACATGTGGCTGTCCAGTCTCTTCTTAAAAATCCCAATGATGAAGCTCCTACAACTTTTGAGGGCAAGGAATTCCACTAGTGAATTGTCCTCACTGTTGGAAAGTTTCTCCTTAATTCCAGGTTGCTTCTCTCCTTGATTAGTTTCCATCCATTGTTTCTTGTCCTGCCCTCCAGTGCTTTGGAGAATAAATTGACACACACACACCCTCTTTGTGGCAGCCTCGCCAACTCCCCCCAAAATCGCCAACACTCACATGTATTTCAGTATTCTCTCCTGAAATTTTTCACCAGTTCCCAGATGTCAAATCTAGAACTAACCACGTTTCAGTACTCTAGTATGAAACAGGAGCATTCTCGTGTAGGAGCTTACCAAAAGCTTACAAAATTTCAATATGTGAACAGGATGATCTCCAGCAGATCAGGGACAACAAAGAAAGCAGGAGTCAACTTTACATTCAGGATTTTGAGATCATCTCGTATGAAAATATACAGAGGGCAACCCCAAAGTTCTACAGGCAGTCTTCAAGTTATGACGGTTAACTGGGCAACAATTCAAAATTACAACTCACCAGAAAAAGGGGAGTTATGACCCAGATTTGAAATGTTGAGGGTCAGGGCCCCCTTTGTAATCATGTGACCAAACACCAGCCACTACATTTATGCACAGGTGGGATTCAAATTTTTTTAACAACCGGGTCTGTGGGTGTGGATAAGTGGGCATGGCCATGTAGGCATGGCTTCTTCTGTTTTTGCAGCAACCACCCTTTCCCCCCGTTTTTTGCTAGTTCTGCAAACTTCGCAGAATCATAACAACCGGTTCTATAGAACCGGTTCAAACCGGTAGAATCACATCCCTGCATTTATGGGTGTTTGCAGTGTCTCATATTTACTTCCGGTTTCAGCAAAACCACACCCATAGTGAACCATTTGCTTAACAACTGCGGATTCACTTTAGCACAGTGACTGTCTTAACCACTGCAAAAAAGGTTGTAAAAAAAAAATCATGTCATCAACCCATGTTACGACTGTAATAAGCAGGCTCCATTACCGTCGAACTTTGAAGACTACCTGCAATCCATGTTTCTGTTCTGTTCATAACTCCCAACCAGCATGACCGAAGAACACCATAGTTTGGGGGTTATCAGAGTTGCAGTCTAAGAGAGCAGCATTGCCCTGCAACAATGCTGCGTGCACACTTGTGCCTCACCTGTCCAAAAATGATCGTCTTTCCTGGGGCTGCAAACACATTGGTTGCAAATCATCACATCTTGTCCTCCCATCTAAGACCGATTGGACCACAGTAATGGGCAGCACAGGGGGCTCTGGACAGGGGTTGTATCCAACCAAAGGAACATCAGGACTGGTAAATGCAGCTTTCCTGTCCGGACCAGCGGCTTCTTCCTTGATCAGCAGAAGATTGGTTTCCCTGGAACGATAAATAAGTTGTCTCCATATTCTGCCTTCCTTTGGTCCAACTCAACTGGCTCCAGACTCTTTCTCTTCCTAAGAACAGCCCAAACATGTCCCGATAACTGTTTTCATATGAAAACATCTGCAAGGATTGCACAGAAGAACTTCGCAAGGGTGGCTTCCTACCTGTAGAGAAGGGGCCTCCAAACTTGGCAACTTTAAGACTTGTGGACATCAACTCTCAGCCAACATCGCTAGGAGTTGAAGTCCACGAGGCTTAAAGTTGTCAAGTTTGGAAGCCCCTGTTGTAGAGAAACCCAGTGGTGGGATTGGAATAATTTAACAACTGGTTTTCTGGCTGGGTAGGCGTGGCCGGCTGGTCATGTGACTGGGTGGGTGACATCACTCATCACACCCAGCCCCGCCTCCGGGCCACTCGCTTCAAAGACAGAGGTAGGATTCAGCCAGTTGGGGCTAATCCTGCCACTGGCTGGTCCTGTCCCCATCCATTTTTTACCCTGTTTTTTGTTGTTTTTTGGCCATTTTTTAGCCATTTGGGGGCCATTTTTGGTTCAAAAAACGGCCAAAAAACAGCTGAAAAACAAGTAGCCAACCAGTGGTGGGGTTTGTTGGTTCGCCAAACTGCACAGAATCTTAACTACCGGTTCGCCTGAACCAGTGCGAACTGGTAACAGCCGACCTCTGGAGAAACCTACTTTCCTGCATGCAGACCATCATTCCTCTGGTGAGTTTCCACAGGAATGTGGAAATCTGCCTTTGGAAGAGAACATTTGAGGGATGTTATTTAACAGTACGGTAGATAATGTGGAGGGGTTGCCATTGGCTTTAAATTATGTGCCAGCTGGAATGGAATTAGAATCCCAATGTAGAAATTTTAGAAATCAACAAGACTAAAATCAGTTTCATCTGAGCACACTTCCCCAGGCAGATGTCTTCTGCCAATGATGAGGTATCCACAATGGTTGGGATGGTGGGGAAGAGTTAATACGATGTTATGATGTGTCGTAACAGATCTGGAAGGGATTTTGGAGGTCTTCCGGACCACCCCCTGCTCCAGCAGGAAATCCTATACCATTCTGGACAAATGGCTGTCCAATCTCTTCTTAAAAACCTTCAGGGATGAAGCACCCTGTCAGCCTTCAAGACTCCTTTCTTTTGCTATCTTTTTGGCTGTCATAGTAATGGGGGGAGGGTGAATCAATTGGGCTTTGTGCGGATGGGAAGTGTGCTGGAGGTTTTACAGGATAAACTGTATAACTTGGGGAAAACTTGTGCTTATTTGCTTGCTTACTGCGCAATCGTAGCTCTTGATCAAACTAGGCCAAGGTCAACGGCCAGATGTCTGCATCACCACCTGAAGATGCCCCACATGACATTATACACAACTTCGATTGGATGGGGTGTTTGAACTATGGTGGGTGGGAACGTTGCCATCACTTTGTATATGTTGTTTTCCATGCGTAAATTCTCAGATCTAGAATTCTTTTGATGCTACCACTTGATTTCCAGCAAAAGTTTCTTTTCTCTATAACAATGGAGTCTAAGAGTGTCTTTCTCGGATTTTGAATGGAGCACCATCTGACACATCCACAACTTCTGAAGGCAAGCTCTTCCACGCTGGTCAATTGTTCTCACTGTTTGGAAGTTTTTTTCTTAATTCCAGGTTGCTTCTCTCCTCAATTAGTTTCCATTCCATTGTTCCTTGTCTTGCCTTCGGGTGCTTTGGAAAATAAGTTGACCCCCTCCTCTTCTTTGTGGCAGCCCCTGAGATACTGGAATACTATCACATTACCTGTAGTCTTCTTTTTCTCTAGACTAGCCATACCCAAGTCCTACAGCTGTTCTTCATATGTTTTAGTCTCCAGGCCTTTAATCGTCTTAGTTGCTCTTCTCTACACTTTTTCCAAAGTCTCAACATCTTTTTTGTAATGTGGTGACCAAAATTGGATGCAGTATTCCAGGTGTGGCCTTACTAAGGTTTTATAAAATGGTACAAACCACTTTTGATTCTATGCCTCTGTTTATAAAACCAAGGATTATATTAGCTTTTTTTTTTTGGCTTCCGCTCCACACTGCTGGCTCCTGTTTAAGGGATTGTCCACCAGGACTCCAAAGTCTTCAGTGACATGATGTGCATGTCGCTTTGATGTCCAGCTGAACTAAAGCAACCAAATTGGATGTCTTGGCTGGAGATTTATGGGAATGGGAATTGAAATATGTATGGGGAAGAGCTATGGAGGACAACCAATGATGGATTTAGTAATAGGCTAACTTTGTTCCCTGCTGGATGAATGGCTGGAAAAAACTGATGGAACCTAGCCGAGATGGCTAAATTGACTGCTTTAACCAAAGACAAGAACACAACCAACTTCATTTTTACTTAGAAACCACTTCTGGATTTTATGCGCCAGGTGGAAACAAGTGAAACTTTAACTTTGGGTTGTGTTGATAAGTTTGTTGTTACAGACATGGCTTTAATACGTATTAGTGCGTAAAAGTAAAAAGTTGAGGCTGTACTGTTTCTATCTTATTTTAATGTGCTAAAAAGAGTTAGAAGTCCATGTTTTCTTTCTCTTTCCCCCCCTTTTACACTTCTTTTATTTGTGCTCCCTCATTTCCCCAGTATTTTCATTTAACGACTTACCTCTCACTGTCGGGAGGGAGCTGTAAAGCCACCGGACTGGGCTGGGCGGCTTCGGAAACATCAGAAATGATGGCTCCTCTCGGAACAGGGCTGTTTAAACACGAGGCCGGCTCTGCGGGTGGCTACAAAGAGGGAAGATGGTGTGGGGGGACACATCTTCAGGGAATCCTCAACTTATGACTCTTATGGGCCTGCCCATTATGGTCATAGGTCGCGACAATCGTAAAATGGGTCAATTCATGTGACCAACTTGATTTTACAACCTCTTTTAAAGAGTAAAAGATAACCTTTATTGTCATTTTTTACTGTGGGTACACTGGTACACATTAAAAATGAAATTCTGTTGCCTCCTCTCAAAAGTACACATACATAACACATATATAGACATGCAATATCTATCTATGCTATATCTATTCTATGGCTATCTATTCTATATCTATATCTATCTATTTATTCTATATCTATCTATCTCTCTATCTATATCTATCTCTCTCTCTCTCTCTCTCTCTCTCTCTCTCTCTCTCTCTCTCTCTCTCTCTCTATATATATATATATATATATATATATATATATATATATATATATAT